GGTGGCTGAGATGCAGGTTTGCTTATGGGGGCCGTGACCCATCATATGCTGAGATGCAGGTATGCTTATGGGAGCCGTGACCCACGTGGTGGCTGAGATGCAGCTGTGCTTATGAGGGCTGTGACCCACGAGTTGGCTGAGATGCAAGTGTGCTTATGGGGGCCGTAACCCATCATACGCTGAGATGCAGGTGTGCTTATGGGGGCTGTGACCCATCATACGCTGAGATGCAGGTGTGCTTATGGGGGCTGTGACCCACGTGGTGGCTGAGATGCACGTGTGCTTATGGGGGCTTTACCCCATCATACGCTGAGATGCAGGTGTGCTTATGGGTCCCGTGACCCACGTGGTGGCTGAGATGCAGCTGTGATTATGGGGGCCGTGACCCATGTGGTAGCTGAGATGAATTTGTGCTTATGGGGGCTGTGCCCCATCATACGCTGAGATGCAGGTGTGCTTATGGGGGCCGTGACCCACGTGGTGGCTGAGATGCAACTGTGCTTATCAGGGCTGTGACCCACGTGGTGGCTGAGATGCAGGTGTGCTTATGGGCGCTGTGACCCATCATACGCTGAGATGCAGTTGTGCTTATGGGGGCCCTGACCCATCATACGCTGAGACGCAGGTATGCTTATGGGGGCTGTACCCCATCATATGCTGAGATGCAGGTGTGCTTATGGGGGCTGTGCCCCATCATACGCCTAGATGCAGGTATGCTTATGGGGGCCGTGACCCATCATACACTGAGAAGCAGGTGTGCTTATGGAGGCTGTGCCCCATCATACGCCTAGATGCAGGTATGCTTATGGGGGCCGTGACCCATCATACGCTGAGATGCAGGTGTGCTTTTGGAGGCTGTGACCCACGTGGTGGCTGAGATGCAGGTGTGCTTATGGGTGCTGTGACCCACGTGGTGGCTGAGGAGCTGGCCAGCCTGACCTGCGCCCTGCCGCAGTGCACTGTTCAGACCATCTCTAGCCCAGTCCTGGGGCTTCCTGCCTGGACCAGACCGCAGCCAGATGGTAGGAAGGCCGAGCACTGGGAGCGGCCACCAGGGTGAGCCCAGGCCTTCCTCATTGAGCCCCCACCTTCCCGAGCAGAGACCCCCACGCTGGGGGTGGCGTAGGAACTCCGTAAGTGGGAGGGGCTGCCCTATTGCTGCGTGCCCTGTTAACTGGGTGGCATGGAGCCAGCCGTGAGAGCAGAGGCCAGAGCAAGGCCAAGGGTAGGGCATGAGGAGAACCCCCTACCTCTCTCAAGCAGACCCTTTGCCCAGTATAGCACTGCCTTTGCCTTCCAGGCTGCAGCCCCCTTCACCCAGGTCGTCCCTCCTGCAGTTCAGTGCACACCAGGTGCCTTCTGCACAAGGGTAGTGGCACATCCTGCTGCCAGGTCAACCTCCCAGCAAGCCCCAAATGCCCACTGGCTCTTCAGGCCTCTGTCTTGCCCCACCCAACTGTAGCAAAGATAACCCCCTGCCCTCCAGGGCCAAGACATCAAGAAAAAAGCCGAGTGTATGCAATGTGGTGACGGTGACATGTCCAGGAGAAAATACAGCCCAAGGGAGGGTGGCCAGGACACGTGGGAGAACCCGACCCCTGGGGTCTGCACAACAGCAGAGCACCCCTGCCAGCCCGGAGCTGCTGCTTCCAGCACTGGCCCATGTCTGGAGACATCTTCCTCTGGAGCCCACGGCCCCAGGCTGCCCCGGGCCCCCAAAGGGGACTGGTGTGTGTGTGAATGAGGCGTTCCTGCCCCACCCACCTGTCCCTGCTGAGTCCAAGGAGCCCAGCCCTGTTGGGGGGCTGGGCATATGGCCTGTGGGGCCAGGCAGCCCAGGAGGAGGGAAGAACAGACGCCAGGAAGAGACAGCAGAACAGGGAACATGGGACATGCTGAGGTTCATTGGCAGGAGGAGGGCCAGCCCCTCACCCGCGGGTCCTTTCTGTGCAGCAGACCTCCACCCACAGGTCCTGGTGGTCCTGCCTGCGCAGGCCTTCAGCAGCTCGTCCTCACCTGCGGCTGGCGGGGAAGCCACGGGGACGCCACGGGGACACCCTGGCCCGCAAGGGGGGCACCAGGCAAGATGTCCAGCTTTGTTTCTGCGGGACCCTCTGTCACTGGGAAAGAGTGAGGCCAGGTCCGGAGATTGCAGAGGGGCTCGAGGGGGGTCGCAGTGGGAGGTGGGCTCCGAGGAGCAGCCCGCGGGTGTCTGGGGTAGGGTGAACATCCTGGTTTCCTGGCGCGGATGCCATCAGACAAGGGCAACCCAGAGGGCGGAGGTGTCCGAGGGAGCGGCGGGCGAAGGCTGCGGCAGACAGGTCTGGCCGCAGGCGCACTCGTCCACAAGGGTGTAGGTGTGGCGGACCCGCGTTCCATCAGGACACCGCATGGCCACTGCCTCCTCGTGCACCCTGGTCTCCCGGCAGCAGGTGCAGTGGCGCCCCATGGCTTGCGCCTCAGCAGAGTACCTGCGTGCAGAAAACAAGTTCCCAGCGGGGCCTCTTCGCCGTGGGGGCTCAGGGCCCGGCCGACCCCTCAGGGCTGCCTCCCTGGGCCCTTCTTCCCGACCCACAGCTCCCCGCTATCGCCGACCCTTCCAGCAGACTCGCCCCTCGGGCCCCTGATGGCAGGTCCTCGGCCCAGCCTGGCCCCCCGCCATCTCGCAGCACCCCCAGAGAGGTGCCCTGCTGGGGGTGGGGTGGGCACTGGGGTGGCTGGGCGGTGGCTCTCGGGTGGCGGGCACAGGGCCCCGACTCACTTGGACAGCCCCGGGCAGGAGCCCTCGCAGAAGGTGAGGCTGACGGCGGCCTCGCTCTCGCAGCCCCGGTGCCTCAGCACCGTGGTGTTGACGCGTACTTGGCACTTGTCTGCAAGGGAAACCACGATGCAATCGCCTGTCTGCGGCTCCCGGAGCCCTCCAGGCCGGCCGGCCTCAAGCTGTTCTGTGGGGGCCGCAGACTCGCAGTGCAGCCCAGGACCCCAGGGAAAGCGCCCAGGGAGAGGTTGGGCGAAGGGCCGGGG